CAGGCCCTGTTTTTGGCTCAGGGAACGGCCTTAAAAAAGGAAGCAGGAGTCCTGGCTCCGTTCCCGCCCAATGATGGGGGGGGGCGTTAAGTATCGTCAGAGTGGGTCGGTCTTTTGTGTTTTGTGGCAATGCAGTCTCTGGGAGCTCACGGTGTGGTGTTGTTGTTGTTTTCCACAATCTCAGGTGGTGCCAAGAAAATACAACTGAGGACCGTGTCGGTGAAGGCGCAGAAATAGCGGCCGAGGGACTGGGGCTCTTTCTTGACTAGCTGGACCCCAAGACTTCCCATCCCAAACGGTCATGGAAGAGTCAGTCGGGAGAAATAAATCAATTCCGTTCAGTGAGGGGGGAAAAATAAGAGTGAGAAGAGACGTAGGTCTTTGGGGTGCCTTGAACTCCCTCCCCTCTCTTCTGACCGAGGGATGAGGGAGGGGATCAGCAGCTTGGAAATTGGGCAGAATTTAGGGACTCATCTCCCCCCACCACCACCAAACTTTTTGGCTCTATCCTCTGGGGAAGGAGAACCGCGAAATTTCTCTTCCCTACATGTGGCTCGAGGGAAAAACACAGTGGTCACGGGGTGTCAGAGGGGTGTCGTTTTTAAAAATGGATAGATGCAGGGAGGTTTGTTGACAGCCCCAGGCCATCCAGAATGGTCCTGTGGAGCCTCTCTATTCAGAGATGGTCTACCTCATCGGCTATTTTTCTGAAGCTTCTTCCTGGCCTGGGAGGGAAACAAGAGGCTGACATTTTTAGCCTGCTGTGACAGACCTTTCTAGGGCCTTTTTGATGGGTTTCACTCAAGCATTTGAGGTGGCCTGCTGTTTTCTACTGTCTCAGATCTTGGACATGCATCACAGCCCTAAAGGCTGATTAATTCTCATCGGCCTGGCATCGCACCGGGCAAAGTTGAGATCCTGTGTGAACGTGGCCCACATTCAACTCTTGCGAGTTGCAAGGATGCAATTCTCAGGCCGGGATCCGAAGCCCCACGGATCCACGCAGCGAACTCCGGGCCCCAAACAGCAACTGCATTCCATCAATGTGGCATCGCTTTGCGTTGCCCACCCAGACGATCTCTGGGAACCTCTGCGGCCACCCAGCCCCAAGGGTGGGCCTGGAGGCCCAAAGCTCTCTCCCCAAAGTTTAAAACCCCCAGGAAGGCGAGCGAGCCGCAGTCCTCGTCGGAGAAGCGTCCAGCCCTTTCCAGACCCTGCACAGACGTTATCTGAGTCCTCCGCCCAACAACCCAGTGAGGAAGGCTGGCGTTGGAGTTCACCCTAGCAGAGGGAGAAGGGCCATTGGCCGACGGAGTTGGCCAACCATGCTTCGCCGCAGTCCTGCAAACCCCCGGGGGAGGCGAAAGTCCGCCTCTGTCTCGCTGGACGATGCCCAAACCTTGCTTTGGGGAGCTGTGGGCAGAATAATCAAGTTCCCCTTCCGTGGAAAGGAAAAGCCGATTTGGCAGGCGCGCCGCTTTCTCCCGAGTTGGCACTTTGTTGCCCGTCCCTAACTCTGACATGGTTATTAGTCAAGGGAAAAGAGGTGGACCGGCTGGAGGGTTTTGTTGGTAAAGGAAAAGGACTGAAAAACGGAGCAGAAGATTCAGACCTGCCCCACACTGCCGAAA